TAAAATTAACAAAAATATTTTCAACCACTCATAAGAGAAGGTAGATTTAAAAATCTGGCTACACTATCTTGAACATCAGTATGCTAAAATCAGTTTTGACAGCCATTGACAAATCCGTGCAAGGGCTGAAAACGGACGGTGGGAAAGGATGGTCTTTCCCATAAGTGATGCCTCCCCTGTCCGAGCATGTTTGCTTGCCCCCCGCCCCCGCCCCTCGCTCTCTTTGCCCCTAGAACTTACCGCCTCCCAACGCTCCAGAGAACGGACTGTGCGCGGCCTTAACCCCGCTGTGAGGATGTAAGCTTTCCGCGAAGACAGACATCTTGGTCCATGCGGTTCACTCGCCTGTCCTGGGCACCTGGGGCCGGGCTCGGCCCGGCGTAAGGCCGCCCTGAAAGTCTCTGACACAGCCGAGTGAGCGAGCAAGCGGATGAGTCGTGAGCTTGAGACAAGCTGTAGGGCTGTCATGCGAGGCTCCGGTTGAGAGCTGTTGGTGCGGAGTCCTGTGAGATGAGCAGTCCCTTTGAGCAGGGGACCGGGTCTCGAGAATTCTGGCCGCGAGGTGACTGCATGCACGCTGGGCCGCCGCTAAGCCATGAAGTGCCTTCCGTGTGAATTAGAAAGCACGGCCCTTCTTTCCAGCTGTGCACTGCTGAGTGCACTGCTGAGGGGTCGTAAGATGGTGGAAAACGGCATGGCAGGCCCTCAAAAATTAAAGCCAGAATTACCATACGATCCAGCAATTCCACTTCCAGATGTACACCTGAGCAAATTGAAAGCAGGGCCTTGGAGAGGTATTTGTATCCCCGTGTCTGCAGCAGCATTATTCACAGTAGCCCAAAGGTGTCCACCAACAAATGAACGGACAGACAACGTGTGGTCAACACACGCGATGAACTACTGTATCGCACCCCCTAAAGAGGAAGGGAATTCTCCATACAGAGAAACCTTGAAGACATGACGCTCAGTGAAACAGGTCAATCACAAAAGGACAAATACAGTGTGACTCCACTCACACGAGGCTGCTAGAATAGTCAGATTCATGGACAGAGGTAGAATGGGGTTTTCCATTGGCTGGGGGAAAGTGAGGAGTCTGTGTTTAAGGAGGATGGAGTCTGGTTTGAGAAGATGGAAGAGGCTGATGGATGGTGGGGAGGGCTGCAGAATGATACGAAGGTGCACGTGACTACTGAGCTGTTGAGATGGTTAATCTTATGGTCTGTGTAGTTTACTAGAATAAAACAAAACCTGGGAGAAAACGACCCTCTGACTTAAAGAATACAGCTGTGGCCTGGGAGAAAAGGAAGGTGAGTGCACTCCAGTTTGACCTCATTTTGATGAGAAGCAGGTATTTTCAAAACCTAGTCTACAGCATCACAAAGAAGTGAAGAAACCCAAGGCCGGCAGTGTGTCTGCTGTGATTTCCTTCCTGGAGGACAGCGAGGAGATGCTGATGAAAGGTGTTTCACACGAGCATGCCCTCGGACACAATAATTCCACTTTTAGGCATTTCACCTCAAGAAATAATCCTAGATATTCGCAAGATGTATGTGTAAGGATGAACATTTGTTTACAATATCAAACGACTAGAAATCACTTTAAAAGTGGGGCACAGTAAAACAAATGAACCTGTTGCACTGTCAGTACACAATTAATAAAAACCCCACTGCCAAAGAATGGTTAGTGGCATGGGGAAGAGTTCTCAATAAACCACTAAATGTGAAAAAATTTACAGAACAGTAAGACCACTATGCATATACTTTTGCTGAAAAACTTTACCTGAATAGGTAAGGAAAAAGAGTTATAGCACAGCTGATTTTGTCTTCATCTTTCTACTTTTGTTTATTTTCTAAATTCTTCATACTGTACATGTATTCTTTATGTGACTGGAAATAAAAACACTGTGTAAATATTTTCAAGTTAAATCTGACTTTCTTTGTTTCTAATTGGTAAACACTGGGACCAATTTAGGTTGAAATTTACCTTTGTCAGATGAGAAAGAAAAGGAGAAAAAAATGCCTCCTTTTTTTTTTAATTGCCCTATGTCAGGTTTTACTGTCAAAAACCAGACTGTAAAAGCGCGTTTAAAATATTTAAGGTAATAAATTCTGTAATCACTCAAAACACCTGTTTGTGTGAAATCCATTGGTATGCAAATCACCAATCACTCCTGTCTTATGCATTAAAACCAGTCACCCAAGTTTCTTACCAATCAATAACTGATGGGGGTGGGGAGGGCAGAGGGGGAAGAAAGGGGCAGCTCCAGAACCTGGAAGTAGACCTACACTTCTTCAATACCAGTCCTGTACCTTAGACTTCCACATTCTCATTTCCACGATTCCATCATCCACGACCCCCACGCCACAGCTTTTCTAAAGTCATCTGTTTGGATGTCGGCTGGTGCTACACATGTTTTCTTCTGATTTTTACTGGAGTAGAGTTGCCTTACAGAGTTGTGTTCATTTCTGCCGGCAGCAAAGTAAATCAGCCACACATGCACCTACAGCCCCTCTTGTTTGGGTTCCCTTCCCACCGAGGTCACCACAGCGCTTAAGTGGGGTTTCCTGTGTCATGCAGCAGGTCCTCATCGGATATCTCTTTCATACGCAGTATCAGGGATGCATAGTGTCAGTCCCAATCTCCCAGTTCATTTCGCATGTCCCACCTCCCCCTTGGGAACCATTTGTGTGTGTTCTACTTCTGTGTCTCTGTTTGCTTTTTCAAATGAAACCATCCACCATACCATTTCTCTAGATCCCATATACATGCACCAACATGTATTTGCTTCTCTCTTTTCGAACCTACTTCACTCTATATGACAGTCCGCGTCTCTGCACATGGCACAGTCTCATCCTTTTGCTGACTAAGTGATATTCCGTTGTGTATACATACCACTTCTTTATCCGCTCCTCTGTTGAGGGACATCTAGGTCACTCTGCGCCCTGCCTGTTGTGAATAGAGCTGCAGTGAGCCCTGGGGGTGCGGGGCAGTCTTCACTTGTCACGACACCCGCGTGGACTGGATTCGGGCGCTTCAATCCAGTCCGCCTTGCAGACTGTACCTGGAGGCTGCTCTTGGTCCCGGCGAGAGGGACGAAGCCAGAGGGGAAGTGCCGAGACCGAGACACGCTTGCAGCTGAAGATGTCCCATCAGTAAGTCCGTTACCCACTTTTGAGGAATTTCAGCCTTTGTGTCTTCCGGTGTATCCAACTTAATGGATTTAGGTTTGGGAAGGAACAAGCCTTGATAACGCAGTGTTCTTTCAGGGACTTTGCTTTATCTGTTCTGCGCAGCCAGGACCCCAGGATTCTGTCAGAAATCATCCCGTAGGCACAGCCTCGCCAGGTATCCATGCTTAACAACATCCAGAAAGGCTCTGTTATGACTTGAGTTATATTCCCCCAATTCATGTGCTGGCCCTAATCCCACCACTGCACAATGTAACAGGGGACAGGGTCTTTAGAGAGGCCCTTAAGACACGGCGAGGTCAGCGGGGCTGTGTCCTCACGAGGAGGAAATAGGACGCACTCCCAGAGGGACGGCCCTGTGAGGACACAGCCCGGAGGCGGATGCTGCAAGCCGAGGGGAGACACCTCGGGAGAGGCCAGCCCTGAGACGCCTGGTCTGGGACCTCGGCCTCCAGGCCGGGAGAACACACGGTGCCGTGGTTTAAACCCCAGCCTGTGGTCTTCTTTCCAGCAGCTCTAGCAGACTAGTACAGGTTCTCGCCCAGAATAAATCACTAAGGAATGATTGAACCTATACAGGAAAAGCAGGAGAGAACCATGCAATTGACTAAAGAGTTACCTTGAGCATAATTTTTCACCTATCAAGCCACGAGTCACACACAGTAGAGTTCTGTGACTGATTTCTAATTTTCCTCTCTGGGAAATTGCGCCCGGCTGGGGTAAACACCTCTGTCTTGGTTTGGCTCAGATACATCAATCCTTTCCTACTGTCTGGCGCTTCTTACAATCGGGAGTTTTAAAACAACGGTCGCAGGGCACCTTTCATTTCATCGTCTACCATTCTTCAAAGCTCTGTTTTTAAGTGCCCAGTTTCCATCACTATCTGTCTAGGTTCTGGTGAAAGCAAGACCCACGCGATGTTGAAATGCTCAACACGCTGAGATCGCTTCTCCTTCCTTCAAGGGGTCGGCTCCTCCCAGATCTAACCAACGCAGTCACAGCTGCTTGTTCCCTGGGAGACTGAGTCTCTATTCACACGCTTTGCTTGGTCCTATGATTTGGGGGTGGGAGTGGGTGTTGATGTACGACTCCAGAGTTTTGGTGGGAAGAAAGAAACTTCCTGTTCGGTGTCTGTCGCTGACAACTAGACAACTTCCCACCGTTTCTGGGGCCTTCTTGACACAGCCGTATGTCTTGCTTGTCACTTCCCTCCGCCTCCCGTCTGCTCCCCCGTTGGGGTATTTAACTGTTTACACCCCCTCTGTGCAGGCTGTGGGGACTTTGCCAGACCATCCTTTCTGCTTGTTTTAGAATCAAAGCATTTGACGAAAAAAACAAAAGCAGGAGAATTCAGTGAAGGAGGGTGGAGGAGACTGGCACAGCTGTTGAGGGGTGGTCTGCAACAGCGACCAGACACCCCCACCTCCGTCCTGCACAAAGCCTGGACCTCTCACTCATCATTGAGGAGGAGGTTGTTTAAGTAAATGGGTCATAATTACCAAAAAGAATACATTAGAAAGATAAGAATATATTTTATTTGTAAAATAAACTGTCACAGATAAAAATCTAGAAAGTTCAAAAAGTAATAACTAGATTGCTTCCCCAGTGGCTCAGTGGTAAAGAATCCATCTGCAATGCGGGTAACTCCAAAGATATGGGTTTGATCCCTGGGTCAGGAAGATCCCCTGGAGAAGGAAATGGTAATCCGCCCCCAGCATTCTTGCCTGGAGAATCCCATGGACAGAGGAGCCTGGAGAGCTATGGTCCATGGGGCTTCAAAGAGTTGGACACAACTGAAGTGACTTGCAGCATATGCTAAGGCATCATCTCAAAAGGATAAAACAGAGTTATTTCATCCTTTTAGATACAATGTTTACTAAAGGAGGAGGAAGTGGCAAATACAAGAAGAGGGGGGGACCCAAGGGGCCGGGGGCTGGAAGAACCCCTCTTGGGGGACCCCAGGGGCTGCCTCCTCGGGACGTGTCTGGGGCCCAGATGCCTGAAGGCAGCAGCATTTTTGTTGAGGGGCATCTTCCCCGTGGGCTGAAGAGTCCAGTTAGCCCGGGGCTGCTCCGAATGCTTTCCCAGGGGCCCAGCTCGCACGCAAATCCGACATGCTGATGGCAGGCAGGATGATCCCTCCTCACACAGACAGGACGCCTGCCAGAGTGGGTGAGCGCCCAGAGGGGCTCACGGGGGAGAACGTGGGATCTGCTATCGGGGCTGTTCCTGCACACGGACGGTCTGGGAGGGGGACACACAGATGGTCCAGGAGGGGGACACAGACGGTCCAGGAGGGGGACACACGGACGGTCCAGGAGGGGGACACACGGACGGTCCAGGAGGGGGACACACGGACGGTCCGGGAGGGGGACATAGACGGTCCAGCCCAGGACACTGGACGACCCTGAGGACACCAGGCTTCTCCTTCTGTCCAACACGGCCTCCCTACCTGTTCCACCCATGTCCTGAGAACCCGCTCTGCCTCGGAACAGCCCCCAGCTGGCGGGCTGCATCCCCTGGGACCCCCTCCACGAGAGGTCTTAGATGGAGGTGAGCCTCAGCCAGCTCACATCCAGTCTCCAGCCGCATTTCTTCCAACTCTGCTCCATGATGGAGGCTGGGAGCCTGGCATCGGCGGTGGGAGCAATCGCACGTGGAAGCTGGCAGACACTGCAGATCAGGGCTCTTTCGTCTCTTTTGTCCTGGAAAGCTGGTTGTTGGCCATTCAGCAGCCACCACTCTCCTGAATAACAGCGGGCTAGAATCTTCACCGGCTTCCCTGGTGGCTCAGGTAGTGAAGAATCTGCTTGCGATGAAGGAGACCCAGGTTAGATCCCTGGATTGGGAAGATCTGGAGAAAGAAGCGGGAGCCCACTCCAGTATTCATGCCTGGAGAACCCCATGGACAGAAGCAGGCTACGGTCCACAGGCTCACAAAGCATCGGATGTGACAGAGTGACTAACGCTGGATGAGACTCTTCACAGAGACTCACGTTACTCCATGGCGGGACGGACAGACAGCAGAAGCTTGGAGAGGAAGGAGCGCTAGAGGAGACGCAGGAGAAATCTACAGATGAGCTCTTCCAAGAGCAGACACTCTGACGGGGACTTCTGGGTGCCCTGTTCTCATGGTGGTGGCGCTGATCTGGCAGCAGGTCAGAACCCCGAGTGTGGCGTGTCCACCACCCGGAAGAAGTCTGTTCGGGTTTCTGGCATCCTGAGTGCAGTCGGGCAAGACTGACTCTGACTCAGAGGGCTGAAGACTTCAGTGCAAACCTCAAAGGTCGTTTATGAGACTGTGTCCCCAGCGCAGAGCCAGGCAGCCACCAGCACTCTGAAGACCCTCTGCTGTCTTGCGAATCACCGTCTGGCCTCCCCATCCTGCTAGTAAGGCAGACACAGTGTCCTCTTCCCAGTTTTCCAATCTCTAGCAGTTTCAGGAGTCCTTCCACACCTCCCATGTGACTAGGGAAGTTGGGTCTCCAACTTGCCATCTTATTTGTAAAGTGTTGCTGACCTATATTCCAATATGAGAGGGCTGAGCACAATTTGTAGAAAGAAAGTCAATCCTTTTAAAGTCTTTTCAGTGAGGAATGCATGTTTATTTGACAAATATATATCCAGTGCCCACTGCAAGGCATTTTCGCTAACACATGTTGTGTGAAGGGTGATGAGAGCTAGCCTATGAGGGCTCTAACCGGCTGGGTCCAGATGCACAGAACACAAGGAACCGCTGGGCCCTGGCCAAGGGGCAGGTCGATTTGCAAACACATTTGCTGTCCTTTAAATAACTGTGTGAGAGTCGACCCATAAATAAGGCTGAGCGCCGAAGAACTGATGATTTCAAACTGTGGTGCTGGAGAAGACTCCCGAGAGTCCCTTGGACAGCAAGGAGATCCAACCAGTCCATCCTAAAGGAAATGAGCCCTGAATATTCATTGGAAGGACTGATGCTGAAGCTGAAGCTCCAATACTTTGGCCACGTGATGTGAAGAGCTGACTCATGAAAAAAACCCTGATGCTGGGAAAGATTGAAGGCAGGAGAAGGGAACAAAAGAAGATGAGATGGTTGGATGGCATCACCAACTCAACTGACATGAGTTTGAGCAAATTGCAGGAGATAGTGAAGGACAGGAAAGGCTGGTGTGCTGCTGTCCATGGGGTTGCAAAGAGCTGGACATGACTTGTCGATTGAACAACAACAGCAAAGATGAAGTGGCCATGTGGCACAGTGTAGCAGGTCAGTGCACAGGCTCTGGGGCTGGGTAACCTGGGCTGGAGCCTGGTCTGTGCCATTAGGACCCATGAGACCTTGGGCAGGTTGAGGTGCTTCTCTGAGCCTCAATTCTCTTATCTTCAAAACGAGGGTATTAATGGTATCTTCCGCAAAGCTTCATTTGTATCAAGTGAGTAAATATTTGCAAAGTGCCAGGTCCAGAGCAAGGGCTACATAAGTTCTAGATTAAGATACATACATAAGACACAGGGCTTTCCCTCAAGGCCCAGTCATCTCATCCTCTATCAACCATGACCCGTCTCTAGAAGACATCTGTATCTTTGGCCTAGACTTTCTCCAGAGCCCAGCTGTTTACTTCCAACTGTCTATTGGCTATCTTGACTTGTCCCACCAACACCTCAAGCACAGTACGTCCAAAACGAAATTACCCCGCCTTACCAGTCTCTTCTCCACCCATGTTTCCTCCTTGGTCATGAGCATCATTGTCCACCCCAAGAGAAGCCTGGAGTTCAGAGCCCGTGTTTCACCAAACCTCCCCACGCCCCAGCTTCCTGGGGCTCTGTAACCAGGTAACCTGGGTTGGAGGTCCTCTGACACCACAGCTCCCCCTCCCAGCAAGACCAAACCTTGCTACTCCTCCTGATTTTGCACCACCCTCTGCTTTCCACCTCCTCTACCACTTACTGCCTGAATCCCAGGCCTCTTCGAGTTTCTCAGGAAGGAGGAAGTGAGGATGGATGCTAAGTTCGCACTAACAGTGTCCTCTAAGGAGCAGTACAAACACATCCCGTTACTGAAAACAAACAGCTCTCAGCCCAGCAACCACATCCAACTGAAGGCAGGTCTCTTGCATCATCTTTCCCTTGATGGGAAGCACAGCTCCTTGGTGCTGGAGCCAAAGGACAACGTAGTCTGACTGCTGAGAAAAGACGGATAAAATAAACAGCCGCCATGAGCAGAAACTATGGGAACAAGGCTTTTGGAGTCGGGCCCAGGACTTACGTCAGGGCAGAACAAATACATTCTGAAATCACCACCTATCTCAGTCCCCCTTCTGTTTTCTCTTTCCCACATAATGATTTGAGTTTAAATGTATGTAAATTTAAAGTGCTAAAGATGTCAACAGATTCCTATATCAAAGTGATGGACAGATTTTTCACTCCCATCAAAATCTTGACAGATTCAAGTTTCTCCAAACCTGAGCCAATGCTGGGTGTCACTGGACTTAAAAATATTGCCAATCTGATAGGTAAAATTGGCACACGTTTTTGTTTTGATTTGCATGTCTTTAATTGTGGATAAAGTTGAACATCTTTTCATACAGTTATTTTGATTTTTTTCTATGAATGCTTATTTATGCCTTCTGTCCACTTTCCCTCATTGAATTGGTTGATCGCTTTCTTACTGACTTGTAAGCGCTCTTTGTATATTGACACAATTAACTCTTTGTAATATGAATTGCAAATATTTTTTTTCTTCTTGTCTCTCCCCCTCCCCTCTTTTTTGTGGTAGATTTTTCCAGAGAATACGTTTTTGTTCCTGTGTTATAAAATATAGTAATTTTTTCTTTGCAGTGCATTGGTTTTATGTTTTACTTGCTGAGGGCTTTGAAGACCTGAAGAATTAAAGTCTGTCTTCTGGCGACTCCGTTGGTAAAGAATCCACCTGCAACGCAGGAGACCCAGATTCGATCCCTGGGTCGGGAAGATCCCCTGGAGAAGGGAATGGCAGCCCACTCCAGTATCCTTGCCTGGAGAATCCCATGGACAGAGGAGCCTGGGGGGCTACAGTCTAGGGGATCCAAGATTTCACATGACTGAGCGACTGAACCACCACCGCAGAGAATGGAGTTGTGACCGCTGCCCTCTGGTTCCCCTGCCTGCCCCAGGAGCCTGGCTCCCATCCCCGTGATCTGAGCAGGGTGATTCCTCCAGCAAGGCTGACACTCCACTGTGGTCCTTGGTGATTATTTCTGGGAATTCCCTGGCAGTTCAGTGGTTAAGACTTCGTGCTCTCACTGGCAGCGGCCTGGGTTCGATTCGTGGTCAAGGAACTCAGATTCCACAAGCCACACAGTACAGCTAATAGAGAGAGAGAGATTATTCCTCTGTCGTAAACAGAGAGTCTGTCAAATGCCAGGTAATGTTTGACTCGAACAGGATAGGAAGATCCAGAGATGAGTTACAGCTCTGTGGTGTTGTTTTGGAATTGGAGACAGTGTGAACTCATGGAGACTGGTATAGATACAGATAAAAATATAGATAAAGATATCAGCATAGAAGTACAATAAATACAGATATAAATGCAGGTATACATCCCAGGATGCACCCCTCACACTGCCCGCTGAGAGAATCTAGAAGCAGTGACACCCAGCAGCAAAGAGCACTTAGTACTCAAAATTTTGGATTCTAAATATCACTCTGGACTAAATGGAAGCAGGGATTCTTAGAGAAATGGCCGATTCAATGATCCAAGCAGAGAAAACAATGATATGAGCCTGGAACATCTTGTTCTATCAGAAAGTAAGGAAGGGCCCCCCAGTTAGGAGATGTTTCAAAAAGATACAGAAAATAAATTAAAGGGGTTCCTACTGATCAAATCAGGGATAATCTGATCACCAAAACACATAATGATAATTACAGATCATAGGCGATTGAGAAAAACAGAAATTCATGAGTTCATGCTGATATAAATATATAGATAAATATTCAAAATTTGATGACGTGGTATATATTCACACTGCCTCAATATACTTCCTACAAAATACTTATTCATCACAAAAGAAAGCAAAGGAACTCCGTGCTGGAGAAGTCTGGCAGACACAACTTTAATTCAGTGATCAAAATAAACACTCCCAATGATTAAACAAGTAGAAGCCATGCAGCAGGTGACAGGGTGCAGGGAGGAACACGGCATCGCCTCTGCTGTTCCCACCAAAGGCGCAAAACCCGCATCCAGCGAGGAAGCACCGAATAAACGAAGTTGAGGTACCTCCTATCAAATGCTGGTCTATTCATGTTTAAAATGACAAAGTCAAAAATGTCAGGAATTCTATAAAAGACATTATTGGGACTAACAGCAAAACCTGAGTAGAGTCTGTGGATGAGAATTTGTAGGAGAATGTGTTTGTTCACAGGAAATATACACTAACTTATTCTGGCGAATGGAACTTCCGGTTTCTATTTTATTTTTCCTGTATTTATTTAGCTCTTCTATAACTTTTTTAAAAATTAAAATTTTAATTTTGAGATAATTATAAATTCATACGCGGTTGTAGGAAATAACGCAGGAAGACCCTGTGTACCCTTTATCCAGTTCCTTCCAGAGGAGCATTTTGTGAAGCTGTCATAGAGCATCACACTCAGGATACTGGCATGGATACAGTAGAGACACAGAACATTTCCATCAGCACCAGGACCCTTGTGTTGTCATTTTATAAACTCCCCCATCCCCCAACCTTCTCTTCCTTCCCTCCCTCTCTTTCTTTCTTCATTTTTCTTAGAGTTGAGTTACAATGTTGTGTTAATTTCTGTTGTGCAGCAAAGTAATTCAATTATACACCTAGGGGCTTCCCAGGTAGCGCTAGTGGTAAAGAATCCGCCGGCCAGTGCCGGAGACTCCAGAGACGCGGGTTCAATCCCTGGGTCAGGAAGATCCTCTGGAGGAGGAAATGGCAACCCACTCCAGCGATCTTGCCTGGGAAATCCCATGGACAGAGGCGCCTGGCAGGTTACAGTCTGTGGGGCTGCAGAACTAGACACAACTTAGGGCTAAACCACCACCAGTTCAAAGAAAAAAAGGGTTTTATACTTTTTTTTTTTACAGATTTTCTGTAAGTCTAAATTTGTTTCCAAACAAACAAACAAACAAAAAAAGAAATATAAGGAAAAAAATAAAAGCTTATTTTTTAAGATACTAGGAGACAGGAAACTTTCAGTAAAGTTCTTTCTTCTCCAGCAGAGATTCTGGAACACATTTTTCTTTCTCTTCTGGATACTGTGAGGCACTGAGGTGGGACCCAGAGCACTGTGGTCATCTCACCACAAGGCTGAGAGCAGAGCCCAGAGGACACACACACGGTCCAGAGCCCCCGGATTAGGTCAGCTCAGCCTGGCATCCAGCCTTCCTCTGACCTTCCAGCTGCAGGCATCGTTACAACTCCTCGTTAGTCTTACGCGGGTCATGCTGGGTTTTCAATTATCTGCCACCAAAAGCTTCCTGAATGATTCAGTCATTGAAAAGGGATGCCAGGGTCCTCTCACAATGAATCCCACTCCAAGCATAACAAATGTTATTGCTCCTGGGTGAACAAAATGTCTCTTGTTTACCAGCATGGACAGTGGGGAAATACACACACGAGGTGTCCTCTGGAGATGGTTCACTGTGACCTTCAGATTCCAGTAAAAGGCTGACCAGGGAGTGAAGGAATGTGCTCGGTTTATCACAGAGGGAACCCACGGGGACAGGAACCAGAGACGAGAGAGCAATTGTGCAACTAAGTCCTGATTCAAGAGAGCTTTTACGAGTCTGCAAAAATTATCTCTGGTCTTCCCTTTTCTACCTAAAAACATTATGCATTTCTATTTACATTTCGATTAGTTTTTCTCTTCTGGTTAAATCTCCTTACTCTCTCCTCAGTGACCTTGAATAACTCAACAGTGCCTGAAAGAGAAAGTCTTTTATCTCATCCTAATACTCAAGGGTCTTCCTTGGCAGACCCTAAACCACTGTGCAGGTCTGTGCTGTCTCTCAACATACCGCATTCTCCAGCCTCGCTGTCCACCCGGGGCTGCGCTGCAGGCTGAGGGTCTGTGTCCCCCACCAACCCTAAGATGCCTGTGTTGAAGCCCAATCCCCAATGTGACGGTCTTGGGTAGTGGGGCCTTTGGGAGTGATTAGGTCATGAGGGTGGAGCACCCATGCTGGGGTTGATGCTCTTATAAAAGAGGCCCCGCATGTAGAACTCCTCTCTCCCTTCTGCCATGTGGGGACACATTGGCATGACTGTCTGTGAACCAGGAAGTGAGCGCTCAGCAGACCCTGAATGCGCTGGTGCCTTGACCTTGGACTTGCGGCCTCCGGGACAATGGGAAAGAGACGTCTGTTGCTGATCGGCCTCGCAGAGTGGCGAAACGACCGCGCCGGTGTTGTTACAGCGGCCCGAACAGACCAGAGCAGATTCCACCCCACCGCTGAAGACAGGAGTTACGAATAGGGAAAGCGGGAACACTAGACTGAGCCCCGAGGGGCCGTTTGGGATCAGAAGACAGGAGCGAACGCCTAGATTTCAGTACGTGCAGACGGACAGACACAGGGATGCAGACGTGAATGCAGGGGTCTGTCAGGAGCCACTCCCCGTCCACCAAGGGGCCTAGAAGCAGTGACACTCCCGCCGTGGAGAGAACACCTACTTCACAGGCAGCCTTTACTTTCTTATGCTTTTCTGTGCCTAACCGTAGGGCTCCCGACATTAAAACATCTTCATCATGCTCTATCAGAGTTCCCCTGACACAGAATCACGGCATGTGAGCACCACGTGACTGTCATCAATGAGTACCTGTCCCTGCCTCTCCACCAAGACCAGGACAGGGGCAAGGCATGGCACGCAGGACTCAAACGCCTTTTGGGTGAGCCAAGTCTGAACATACACATAACGATGTCCGAAAGTGAACGTGAAAGTCGCTCAGTCGTGTCTGGTTCTTTGCAACTCGATGGACTATACAGTCCACGGAATTCTCCAGGCAAGAATACTGGAGTAGGTAGCCTATCCCTTCTCCAAGGGATCTTCCCGACCCAGGAATCAAACCAGGGTCTCCTGCATTGCAGGTGGATTCTTTACCAGCTGAGCCACAAGGGAAGCCCCTGATGCCAAGGTCGGACTCAGATGTTGTCTCTCCGTGAAGCCTCCTGGGGATGTGCGGCAGAGAAACAACCCATCTCTGCTCAGGGGGAATCTTCCACCCCTTCCTGCAGCACCGGTTCGTCCTTCCTTCCTCTTGGGCTCATCTCCCCACTCCACTGTGAATATTTGTGGGCAGGATCTGACTTTCTTTCTTGTTCCCCAGCCCTCGGTTCAGGCATTTTGGATTAGATGGCGTCTCTCCATGGACCGCACCGCCCTCCCTGCAGAGTGAATCCCTGCCGTTGGCATCGTTGGCTCCAGGCTCCACCGGTGGGAGCCAAATGTTCTCAGGGAATCCAGGACGAAAGCAGCAGCAGGGCCCTTTGTTCCAGCCCTATTTCTGAAGAAGACGGTTGCCCTTGGCTGAGCAGGAGGCAGTCTTCAGAGAGGTGACTCACCTGCTTGACAGACAGGTCTGTCTCAGAAACGTTTGACTTCACGCTTTGCCTTTGCTGCGAAAGAAGCCCAGCTCCACTTTGCAGTGGGAGGTGGCGGGCTCATGAAATGAGTGTTTGCCTGTTTCTGACGGTTTCCCTAGAGGCTGGCTGGGCAAGCTCCCCGCAGGGTGATGAAACGGTGATGATCCGGTGCACCAGGAAGGCTGCCGAGCTCCCAACACGCTGCTCTGAGGAGGCACCCACGCTGGCGGAAAGCCGCTGTGAGAGAGACGGAAACCCCGAGCTCTGGGCTCAGAAGTTTCCTCACTAACCACGCAGACCGGGGTGAGCTACAGAGAGGTGCTTTGCCGTTGAGAATCTTGGCTAGAAGAGGAAACGGCAGATCTTCCCAAAGGCTCCGACCTCGACAAAGCCCGGCGTTCATTTTTATTGCTGCCAGAACAAATCACCGCAAATTGAGTAGCTTGAAACCACACCATTCCTCATCTCACAGCCCTGCAGCTTGGCGGTCTGGGTGCAGCGTGGCTCCACTGGGTCCCCTTTCAGAGGCTGCAGGGCTGGAATCAGCAAGGCTGCAGTCCCGACCAGGGCGCTGAGCAGAGAGTCTGCGGCCAAGCTCGCTGGGTGTGCAAGTGGGGGCCCTGCTCTGTTGCTGGCTGTCAGCTGGGGGCACCCTGAGCTCCCAGAGGCCTGCCTGGAATTCTGTCACGAGGCTCCGACTTCTCAGAACCAGCAAAGGAGCTCTGAATCCCTCCCGGGACTAGAATCTCCCTGACTCCCCTTTCTGCCACCTTCCCTCTAACTCCATCCAGAGAAAGGTCTTTGCTTTTTAAGGGCTTGGGAAATTAGGTGGATAATCACAGCCTTCCCTGGTAGCTCAGCTGGTAAAGAATCCACCTGGGTTCGATCCCCAGCTTGGAAAGATCCCCTGGAGAAGGGAACGACTTACCCACTCCAGTGTTCTTGCCTGGAGAATTCCATGGACAGAGGAGCCTGGCGGGCCACAGTCGGTGAGGTCACAAAGAGTCAGACACATCTGAGCAACTAACACATGTATGGGCACTATGGCCCAGCCAAAGCAACACATAGAATTAAGTATCACAGCTTCTAACTGGGATGTCCTCTTTTCCGTCATTGTCAAAGGCTTCGGGACCACTGGCCTTCCTGCCCTCTCTGTGACCGTCCCACCTCCTGGCCCACTCACGTCCTTCAGCCCCCAGGCCTGGCTGAAGGAGGCCCAGCCTCCTCTCCTTGCTAAGCTGAGCACAGGCATTTAGGCTTACTTTGCATGCATGGTTTTTCCAACCAATCATGACAGAAACAACCCAGGTATAACAAAAACTACAAATGAGAAGGTGCAAGGCTTAGAAAATCATGCTTTCTCCCCATCCAGCACCCAGGTGTTGCTCCCCTTTCTGAGATGGAAATTGGAAATGTCAGGCTATTTTGTCTGTATATACCGTTGAAAGTGGATCTCACCCAACCCCTGCTCTTTGAACACACGAAGTTCCAACAAGGCAAAATAGAAGGCACTTGCAAAGGCCTTTAATCTGAAGAGGATTGTTTGTATTTCTGAGGAAGTTTTAACTTTCCATTCTGGCCCTGTTCTTCAAGAAAGAATATTCCCTTGGGCATAGCCTCCCTGGAGGTTTATCCCTAGAGAGGAATTTATATAAGATCTTCAGAACACTGTGCAACAATTTCAAAAAGCCCAAGTGGTCAAGGTTTTTAACTGGGCAGGGAATAAAAAGTTATTATTTTTCCTCCTTCCTCTTCTTCAGCCTCTCACTGCCCTGGTGGTTCAGATGGTAAAGTGTCTGCCTACAATGCGGGAGGCCTGGGTTCGATCCCTGGGTTGGGAAGAACCCCTGGAGAAGGAAATGGCAATCCACTCCAGTACCCTTGCCTGGAAAATCTCATGGCCAGAGGAGCCTGGTAGGCCACAGTCCATGGGGTCACAAAGAGTCAGACACGATTGAGCAACTTCACTTTCCTCTTCTACCTCTCACCCCACATCAGAAAATTCAGGAAGGCCCGCCTTTTCCAAAGAAAAGAATCACATGGCCATGGTGCCAAGGCCCGCAGTCTGTGCTCTGGGCCAGCCTGCTCCCCGGCCACGGCCCTGGGCCCCCCACGCCCTGCCCCTCCTGACTTCCCACCAGCCACTCCACAGCCAAGCCGGACGGTCAAACAGAGCGAAGCTGTGGCCTTTTCTCTTCTTAACTGTTTGGAAACTTTTAAGGACTTTTCCTATTGTTATTCTGGAGAAGGAAGATCCCAGCGGAACCATTTTACTATACACTCCAACTGTACTTTTTTGGGGGAGGGTCTCAGTTACAGTGCACAGGGTCTTGGGTTGTGGCCTGCAGGCTCCGGAGCTGGAACGGGCTCAGCAGTCGCCATGTACAGGCTGAATTGCCCCAGCGGCACGCAGGATCTTAGCTCCCCAAGCAGGGATCGAACCTGCATCCACTGTGTTGGAAGGCGGATTCTTAACCACTGGACCACCAGGACAGTCCTTAGGCAGAATCTTAAGAATTACCAACAGCATCAGAAGCGGCCACAAGGTGAAAATGTCTGTGGAGCGCCTGTTTAATTCATTCCACCTGACCGTGCCCATCTCGTTACCACTCATGGCAGACAAGCCTAGAACCGCAGCATCTCATGCCTTCATGATCCCGGTTGCCTCCTCACTGGCCTCCATCTGACTTATAAATCCCTTACCCCTCAACCATCCTCCATAGGGCTCTCAGGCTATTCCTTCCTAAACACCCCTCTTCACACAAATATGTTACCCCTTCGAAATGTTCAGTGGGTTCCCAGCTCTCACCCAGACCCTCCACAATCTGAACATAACCTGCCATTCCCAAGACATCCACCCACTCCCCCATTCATTCACGCACTTGACGGACACATTTTGAGCATCTATTCCATGCAGGCCTTAGAGATACAGGTCAGGCTGAGTTAGCTTGGACAGTCTCTGCCCTCAGGGGCTTACAACCCGGCTGGGGGAACAGAGGCCTTGAGAAGGCATTCCAGTGAGCGTGACGAGACGAAGAGGAGGAAGATGAAGTGCCGGCGTGCCCTCCCGCGTCCACCTGGGCTGACCCTCAGCTCCCACTCGCCGGCCTCCTCGCTGACCACTGAACGCACAGGTTGCCTCCTCTGTGCACTGGCTCGACCACCCTATGAAACCCCCCACCCCCCAGGCCCCTTCTGTCCTGCAAGGGCCCAGTCGTGTCCCGCCATCCCTATTTTCCTGATCCATGAAGCCTATGAAGAACCTTCCTTTGTCTCTGCGGCGTGGTCCCAGGAGGCATCTTCTAAACCCTGCAGACTCCGCCTTCTGCATCCATTTGTCGTGAGGGGGGGTACTCATCCCTCCGCTCAACCCTGGTAGCTCACATCGGGGACACAGAGACCCCACAACCCCACCCAGCCCTCATCCAGCCCTCAACACGCCAGCTCTGTGCAAATGCCACCTGGAGTCTTCAGAGCCACCCTGTGGGTTTGTATCATCCCTGCTTTCATGGTGGGATGGGGCGGGGGGGGCGGCAGGTACTAAGGCTGTCAGGGGTAAGGTAACTTGCACAGCTCACCAGGCAGTCTCCCGGCCTGCTGTAGGACGGGACCCCACCTGTCCCCTGCAGCTCTCACCCCTCCCAGCAGCACCCCTCCCCGCTCCGCACCCCTGAGGGTCAGGGGCTGGTTCCCCAACCAGGGGCAGGAGCCCAGGGGGATCCCAGGGCCCCGATTTGCTGCCTTTCTCATTGGCCTGTGAGAAGGCGTCGCTTTCAATGACCCCTTCAGCCCCTGGGCGGAAAGAGACAGGCCAGGTTCTCACGTCGGGAAGGTGAAGGCTTGGGACCACTATTCAGGCTCCCCCGCCCCTGGGATCTAGCCTGCCTTGTCACTCATCTCGATTCAGACGCTCGCAGCACAGCCTGGGGCACGGCCGCGGGGCCCCCAGGGGGTGAATGGAGCTGCGGCCTGGGCGTGGACCAGGGCACAGGTCAGTGCAGACGCGGGGCAAGGGTCAGGCTTGGGTTCCAGCCCGTTTCCCGCATGCTGAGAGCCGCCCTGTATGAAGGGCACGTGTGTCAGCGCTGAGCTCACCTCTGCACACGTCCTGCCTCATTCACTCCACTCATCACCGGGGTCGGGTGTGAGATGAGGAAGCCGGCGCCTCCAGAAACATCCTGCTCCACCCGATGCCCAGACAAGCATTTCTCAGCCTCCCCGCAAAGCCCTGGGGTCAGGCCGTCAGGTGCCTGCCCAGCCCCAAGTCAAGGGAGAAGAAAAGACGGTCACTGAAGGTGACCCACTGTCCAGGGGCTCCAAGCCGTGACAGAGGAATTCTCTCCGCCTCTTTCTAAAAATACACATGCATGCCACCGCCGTCGCCTGCGTCCTCCACCTGCTCTTACGGCTCCTTAGCTGGCTTCCACATCTTCATTATCCTGTGAGGCCCTGGAGAAGGTGAGGATTTCACCCTGTGTCTACACATGCACATGCATCACGAGGACGCATACGTGCGCGCGCACACGCACATACATCATCTCTTAGAACAACAGAATGGGAACACTGGTGGGATCTTTAGAGATGCTCTAACGGGAGCCATACCAAAAAATTCTTCCTATCAAGAAGTATTTCTTCTGGACACTAATCCATCTGCAAAAATAAAATTGGGAGTTTGAGCTGGCCTGTCCTAAGGTTCTGTCTCTCCTACACTATAATTTCTATCTCCCCACGAGTCTCTGAAGGCAGGACAATGGTTTATGCTTCTTGCTAAAGCGTTATAATCTGGGCTTCCCTGGTGGTCCAGTGGTTGAGTGTCCACCTGCCAATCAATGCAGGGGACACGGGTTCAATCCCTTGTCCAGGAAGATTCAGCATGCTCTGGAGCAACTAAGTCAGTGCGCCTTTGCTCTAGGGCCTGAGAGCTGCAACTGCTGAAAGCCTCCCCAACCCCGGAGCCTGCCCTCTGCAACGAGGAGCCCCCACAGTGAGAAGGCCAAGCGCCACAACGAAGAGTAGCTCCCACTCCCTGCAACTACAGAAAGCCCATGCATGCAGCCAAAATAAATAAATTTCTAAAAAGCAGTATAATCTACTATTCACATTCACCATCTAATGCTAGATGACTAGCCTGGCCCAGGAGGGCTTTGCTAGTTGAAGGTGGGTCGGCGGAGGAAGCCCACGCCAGGTACCACCCTGCCTCTCGCTGCCTCTGGATTCAGGATCGGCTTTTATTTATTCCAATTTTATTGAGGTGTAAGTGACAAATAAAATCGTATATTTAACATATACAGCATAACTGACATATGTGTACATCATGACATGATTACCATGGTTAAGATGACGGACACATCTATCAGATCACACGGTTCCCGTTGTTTGTGTGTCTGGGGGGGATGATGATACTTCCACTCTATTCTCCTCGGTTCAGTTCAGTTCAGTCACTCTGTCGTGTCCGACTCTTGTGACCCCATGGATTGCAGCACGTCTGGCTTCCCTGTCCATCACCAACTCCCGGAGTTAGCTCAAACTCATGTCCACTGAGTTGGTGATGCCATCCAACCATCTCATCCTCTGTCGTCCCCTTCTCCTCCTGCCTTCAGTCTTTCCCAGCATCAGGGTCTTTTCCAATGAGTCAGTTCTTCGCATCAGGTGGCTAAAGTATTGGAGTTTCAGCTTGAGCATCAGTCCTTCCAATGAATACCCAGGACTGATTTCCTTTAGGATGGACTGGTTCGATCTCCTTGCTGTCCAAGGGACTCAAGAGTCTTCTCCAACACCACAGTTCAAAAGCATCAGTTCTTCGGCTCTCAGCTTTCTTTATAGTCCTGCTCTCACATCCACACATGACTACTGGGAAAATCATAGCCCAAGAATCCTGGAGCGGGTGGCCTATCCTTTCTCCAGGGCATCTACCCAATTCAGAAATCAAACTGGGGTCTCCTGCATTGCAAGCAGATTCTTTACCAGCTGAGCTACCAGAGAAGCCCATAGCTTTGACTAGACGAAGTTTTGTTGGCAAAGTAATGTCTCTGATTTTTAATATGCTGTCTAGGTTGGTCATAGCTTTTCTTCCAAGGAGCAAGCGTCTTTTAATTTCATGGTTGCAGTCACCATCAGCAGTGATTTTGGAGTCCAAGAAAATAAAGTCTCTCACTGTTTCCATTGTTTCCCCATCTATGTGCATGAAGTGATGGGACCAGATGTCATGATCTTAGTTTTCTGAATGTTGAGTTTTAAGCCAGCTTTTTCACTCTCCTCTTTCACTTTCATCAAGAGGCTCTTCAGTTCTTCACTTTCTGCCATAAGGGTGGTGTCATCTGCTTCTTTGAGGTTATTGATATTTCTCCCAGCAGTCTTGATTCTAGCTTGTGCTTCATCCAGCCCAGAATTTCACATGGTGTACTCTTCATGTAAGTTAAATAAACAAGGTGACAATATGCAGCCTTGACGTACTCCTTTCCCGATTTGGAACCAGTCTGCTGCTCCACGTCCGGTTCTAACTGCTCCTTCCTGACCTGCATACAGGTTTCTCAGGAGGCAGGTCAGGTGGTCTGATATTCCCATCTCTTTAAGAATTTTCCACAGCTTGTTGTGATCCATACAGGCAAAGGTTTTAGCATCTCTATGAAGCAGAAGTAGCAAATCTCAAACATCCAACACAGTGTTGTTAACTACAGTCCCCCTGCTGCTCATCAGATCGCAGAACTTGCTCATTTTATAACTACAGTTTGTTCAGGTTGACCAGCATCTCCCCATTTTCACCCCCCAGCTCCTGTCAATCTTCATGCCACTACTTCTACAACCTTGGCATTTTTATTAATATATTTATTTTTAATTGGAGGGTGATTGCTTTACAATACTGTGTTGGTCTCTGCCACACACCAACGTAATCAGCCGTAGGTATGCATGTGTCCCCTCCCTCCTCAACCTCCCTCCCACCCCGACCCCATCACACGCCTCTAGGTTGTCACAGAGCACCGGGTTTGAGCTCCCGGCGTCATGCGGCGAATTCCCACTGGCTGTCTGTTTTGCAAACAGTAACGTATATGCTTCCATACTGCTCTCCTGATTTGTTCCACCCTCTCCTTCCTCCACTGTCTCCACAAGTCTGTTCTCTCCTGTCTGTGTCTCCGTTTTCGCCCTGCAAATAGGTTTATAGATGCCATATATATGCATTAATATGCAGTATTTGTTTTTCTCTAACTTCACTCTGTATAATAGACTCTATGTTCTTCCACCTCATTAAAACTGACTCATATGTGTTCCTTTTTAAGACTGAGTAATATTCCATTGTATGTACATACCACAACTTCTTTATCCATTCACCTGTCAATGCACATCTAGGTGGTTTTCATGTCCTAGCTATTGTAAATAGTGCTGCAGTGAACATTGGGGTATACGTGTCTTTTTCAATTACGATTTCCTTAGGGTATATTCCCGGTAGTGGGATTGTTGTGTCGACAACCTCAATTTTTTTCAGTTCAGTTCAGTCACTCAGTCATGTCAGACTCTTTGCAACCCCATGGACTGCAGCCCGCCAGGCTTCCCTGTCCATCACCAACTCCCGTAGCCTGCTCAAACTCATGTCCATCAAGTCAGTGATGCGAACTTCTTTAGAAAGTACATTTATTTGGCTGCAGGTGGAGTCTCCATGGCGGTGCACCGATTCTCCAGTTGTGGCAAGTGGGCTCCAGAGCTTGTGGGCTCAGGAGTAGCAGTTCAGGCGCTTGTGGTTTCTCGGAGGCAAGTGGGATCCTAGTTCCCCAAGCAGGGATTGATCTGGTGTTCCCCTATGTTGCAAGGCAGATTCTTAACCACTGGACCACCAGGGAAGTCCTTACAACTTCAACTTTTTTTAAGATTCCACATATAAGTGAGATGGTACAGTATTTGCCTTACTTCACTGAGCATCCTCACTTCATCCTCCAGGTTGTAGAATGTGTCAGAACCTCTTCCTCTTTCATGCTGAATAGCATCCCTTCATGTGTACATATCACTTTTGTTTCCATTCACCCTTCGATGGGCATTTGGGTTGTTGCCACCTTCGGGCTGTTGTGAATACTGCTGCTGTGGACTTTGGTGTGCAATTGTCTAAAACTCTGCTTACAATTCTTTCGGGTGTACACCCAGAAGTGGAATTTCTGGATCCTATAATACTTCTTTGTTTCCTCTTTTCAAGCATGCTATACTTCAGAATTTGGTTTTCACATCAAGATTGTATAATTTCAGAAAACCTGCAAACCCCCAGCCCATGGGCTCCAGTCGCGTGTGCCAGGCTATTTCTTGGGTTCCTTAGAAACTGGTCTTAGATCCTAGAGTGACCTGATGCCAAGTGGGGAAAGGAACTGGAGGGTACCAGGCCGCTCTCCTCACCGCACGGCCCGGAGGGAACATGTGACTTGCCTACAGGCACGGCCTCTTGGCAAGACAGCCTGGGCAGAGCCTGGACCCAGACGCTACAGCTGAGGAAGGGTTCCGAAGCCTCTGTCATCACCAGGGCCATGGGGCCCCGCAGAAGGCCACGCTTTGCATCAGGACTGCCTCGCCCAGCCCGGTTGCATGGCTAAGGTCTCGCCCCTTGCACAAGTCAGCTCCCCCAAGGCCTGGGTGCTCTGCCTGTCAGGGGCACACCCAGGGCCACCCGAGACGCCTGGTACCAGCCAGCCCGTCCACGCGAGGAGCCAGCCCAGCTCAAACCTGTTTCCTTGTCTGCCTTCTGGGCGTCTCCTGCGCTGCCGGCGGGTCTGTGCTATTCTTGTCGGTGGCCCACCCTCCTGCCAAGTCAGGAATAGGCACACGGAGGCTGGTGGAGGGTTTGCTGTTCTTCACCACCCGTCTTGGTGCCGGCTGAGCTGCCTCCTGGCAAAGCTTGGGAGAAGTGAAGCCTGCATCTCCCACCTGTGGCCTCTCCTCCGCACTCACCTGCCCACCCCACATTCCCACACCCCGGGCGCGCCCTCAAGACCCCAGTAGCTTCATGGCAGCACCTTTCTCCTCCAAACTTTGCCTTTCACCGCCCACCCGCTGCAGGAAAGGAAAGCAGGCCCACATGTCTTCCTCCAACAGCAGGAATGAAACTGCTTCCATGGTGTCAAATGGACTTCTCTGTACAAAAATCGACTTCTCACCTGTCATCTCCAGTGATCCCAACCGCAGTCCTGTAGAAATACGTGGGGAAAAAATGGAAGTCTTCGCTTCTTTGATGAGAACACTGATCCTCGGGAAGGTGAGTGATCTTCCCAAGGGGACACAAATGGGAGTGCAGACCTCAGAGCGCGTTCCCGCTCTACCCGGGGGCTCTGAAAGGGGTCCTATGCAAAGTTCAAAGTTCACGGCCAGAAAAGGGACGCTGAGAAATCGGGGGTGCAACACCTTCAAAACACTGCTTCTCCAAAGCAGCCACACCAGAAGCTTCTCTGCTCCATCCGTTGGGGACTGGTCTCCAGCGGTTCACAAGAGCACCTCAGAAGGGAAAGTGCAGACAGCACCACCCCGTTCTGTCTGCCGCTGCAGAAGCAGGCGGTCCTGTGTCCCCGCAGGGCAGCGGGCCCTCCTGCCAGTGGCCCCCACTTGGAGCCTTTCCACCCTGGGGGGAGGCGTGGCCCAACTTCGCTCCAGATGGTGGGAAGTCTGGCGAGTGGTGCGAGGCTCCGGCTTCCCCTGAGCTGGGAAAATGAATGACTCTAATGTGAGTCTCTTTAGCCACTTGACTCTCTGCCCCTCCCTTCATTCTTGACGTCCGGCCAAGATACCCTCCTGACTCTCCAACCATCCTTCTGTAACAACCTAGGAAATCAGCTGTCTCCCACTCACCAGAGAGCATGCAAGTTTATGCCTGATGAGTGGAAACGAATGCTGATTTCATTCCCTTTTCAGGGAAAATGTGCAGGAATGAGGATCCGGTTAGACTTGCTGAAAATCCTTGCAGGCTGGTCATTTCTGAGTCATACGTACCTGACCCTGAATTGCCTGGTTGGGGTTTAATTGCACAGCTTGGCCTGCTGCCTCTACGGTTAGCTCTGTTTGATGATGGAGGCCATGAAAATAATGATCAGTAGCCACTGCAGATCAGACCCAGGGGCAGCAACATGAAGAGGAAAGCAAGTGGCCACGTTAACCACCAAAATGACCAGCTCGATGCTGCATAGGAAATGCAACCTGTAGAAAATTTGAGAGATTGATTCATTTGAAACATGAAATTGTTCATATTTAACTGCTTGACACTCTTTAAAAATGGAGGGTTGGCCTCCAACTAATAAAAATAAATGAAAAAAATAAAAAAATAAAAAAAGATTAAACTCTATATTAAAACTGTGCTACTCCTCATTCTAATTAAATAAATATCTATGGCTGGATAATAAGAAAAAAAAAAATGGAGGGTTGGCATCGTTCAACCTCATAGCTACGTTCCCTTGATCGTCACATCATCACTGACTGGACTTCTCAGAATTGCTTGGCTGGGAGTCAGGAGAAGGAGCTAGTCTGTCACTCACTCTGGTCCTGACATGTTCTTCTTTTCAAGTACAGTTTAGAGAAAAAAAAAAAAAAACTTTGGTCTAGGAGTCGGGAGACCTATATTTCAGCCCCAGTTGACTTCTGATATGGCCGTGAACAAGCCTTTCTCCCCTAAGCCTCATTCTTGCCAACTGAAGCTATCCCATAAACATTCTCGTGACTCGCAAATGAGCGGATGGATGGGGACACAGTTTTTTTAATGTGACAATTACGCCACAGATCATTTATAAAGACTGCACACATTAACCCTATTGATATGTGTGTGTGTGCTCCCTCCAGAGAGAATAAATTTCGAAGGCAATCGTAGCCGATTACCCTGTTGTTCCAATGTCATTTCTGAGAGCAAATGATGCCAAGGTGGTAACAGATTGCCATTGTATTTTCCATTAGTCATCAGAGGGTAAAGATTTGATAAAGAGTGAGAAAACCCATGGACTCTCAGGGGTGGGAAATCCAAGTTATTGACAGCAGCAAGCTACGCTTCTTTGAAAAAGACGGTGTTGCAATTCTTAGAGATTATTTGCTTGACATGAGGAGACCCCAAGCAGCTTCTGGAGGCCCCGCCTGTAAGATGAACGGCCTGGTGTCCCCTACTGTGCCCCTGGGGTCCCCTCCTGCCCCCGTGGTTTCAGCGTTTGCACGATAGGGCTGGACAGCTCCTTGGGACGGCCTGGGGCCCGTGTTGGGGCGTGGGCGGGAGAGGAGGTTGGGGGGTGTTCGCTCCATGTCCTTGCTCCCGCCCCCGTCTCTCCGTCTCTGCAGCTGCCTCCCGTCCCCCCGCTGGGCGACATCCTGGGCAGATGGCCCCTCGGAGCGGCTGCCAGCCCCACTGCACTGGCAGCTGCTGCGCGGCCCCGGGGGGGCGGCGTGACCACGGGCACCCACCCGTGAGCAGACACATGTGCGGCGCGTCCTGCCCCTGGCGCCAGGCCCGCGGGCGCAGCTCCCTGCCGTCCCGGAGGCCTCCAGCTGGCTCCGCGGAACACGGCCCCCTCCCTTCACCAGGGAGACGCGGGCCTGCCAGCGTCCACCTCTGAGATGTCCGTCTCTGCGGTGAGCAATGCGGTGTTGCCCAGAAACATACGTGTCTTTAAAACATCCGTACTAGAGAATATTTTTTAAAATTCTCTTGATGACCTTTCCAAAGTTTAAATAGGTTAACTCTCAGATGTTAAGAGGAAATGTTATTTTAAAGATGGAATAAAAGGATACCAAATCTTTGAGGACCTCACGCTCGGTGGAACAAACCAGTCACTGAAAGACAAGCACAGAGTGACCAGCTCTGTGAGGATCCTACAGTCGGAGTCAAGCTGACGGAAGGTAGAGGGTGTCTGCTGGGCCTGGGGAAGGCGGTGGGGGCTTCCGTCTTACAAGAGGTAAGAGTTCTGGAAGCTGGTTATACAGCAATGTAAATACGCTTGACACTACTGCACTGCACACTTAGAAATGGTTAATGCGGCCAATTTCATGTGCAGGATTTAATTTCTAAAAAAATTTTTTTTAGAGAATCCTAAATGTGAAGTAATGAAGTTCTCGGAGTGACATATATCAGAGTGGCTAGAATCCAGGAGATGTAAAAAAAAAAAACCCTTCAAATAGAAATGTCCATTATCACCCACAATAAGAAGTTCCATCGTGACCCACTGGAAATTTTCTCTAGGAAATCTATTAGTTCTAATTGCATTAATAACAACTGTTATAAATACACAAAGTCCAAAAGTAGGTGGATGTGGGACTTCCCTGGTGATCCAGTGGAGTTAAGAAGTCGCCTTGCTGTGCAGGGATGCAGGTTCAATCCCTGGCTGGGGAACTAAGACTTCACGTGCTATCCCGAGCCCACGCCACAACAAAAGATCCGGCACCATGCACCGAAGGTCCTGCATGCCACGACTAAGATCTGACGCAGCCAAACAAATATTAAAAAAAAAAAAAAGTAGGTAGATGCTGTGGTCTGAATGCTTGCATGTTGAAACCCTAACCCTCAGAGGTGATAGTGTTGGCAGGCGGAGACTTTGGGAAGTGATGAGGTCATGGGAGTGAAGGCCTCCTGGTGGGATTAGTGTCCTCATTAAAGAGACCTCCTCAGGGCCCACAGCCCCTCCACCACGCGAGGACACAGGGCAAGGTCTGTGTCACAGCAGAGGGTCGCCACTGACCCCGCAGAGGCCCCCCGGTCTCAGAATTCCCCCCTGCAGAACTGTGGGAAGGGTCCATCGCTCACAAGCTCTCAGTAGCTGCCCAGACAGCCTAAGAAGGCATCTCATCCCATCAGTGGACACCTGGAGCGGGGAAAACATCAGCCCCTTCTCCACGGCTGCTTCTCCCCGCCTCCTGGGGCCCAGATTAAGAAACGGGCTCCAGGAATCTGACTCCCGATCATTGTTCAACTTGTACCAGGAAGTGGCTCCTCATTCACAGGACAGATTAAAGGGGGGCCTCGCTTCTCAACTAGCTCTGCTTCCCTCGGGATCAAAATTACAGCTCTTCCCAATGGGTCGAGTCCTTTCATCTCGGTCTTGACCAAAATGGAAACCAGGATCACGAGAATTCCTCAGGGCCAGTGTTGAAAGGAATTTCCCCTGCTCTTCTTGCCAGAGTCTCGAGGGGGGCACCCTCCCCCGGGCGAGTAATCGCAATTCCACGTGATGGAACAAACAGCATCTCCTTTTCAAAAGGGAAGGACATGCAAGGAAATCAGCTGAAGGAAGTGGAGATGAAAGCCTGTCTGGACGCAGCGTCCGGATAAGACGTTGCGTCTCGACATGCAGAGCTCTCTCAGAACTGACTCCAAAGCCGCAAGTCCCCTTGGAAGTTAGGAGGACTTCTCTGCATCCACGCTCCAGGAAACACACTAAACAAAACCCCAGAAAAGGCTCAGACTCCACCAGACGAGTGCCAGGCCTTCACTGTAAACTCCTCACCCAGCTCAGCCCCGTCCAGGGCCCACCTGCCGCCCCCGGTGACCTGTGTTCCCAGACGCCCCTGCCGGGCAGTGAGAGCACATGGGGCCGCCTAACTGGGCCAGGAGGCCACTCTGTGTCCACAAAGCTGTTCCCGGGGAGCGGACACTTCTCTGCCTGCTTCTGCTCCTCTCCACCCCCGCAGTCCTCCGGCACCTCCGCATCCCTCACTCACCAGCCAGCTCTGGCCCACGACCAGCTCTGGGCCCGACCACATCCCACTTCTGGAACCCGGCAATCAGGCTTCCATGTTTCAAGACTAGCGCTCTCCCTGCCTTTTCTGAAACCCCCGCCTTGTTATGATGGACTTGGTCCTGATTCTATGGACTAACTCTGAAAATATGACCATGGCTCATGGCTTCACATCACACAGAGACAACAAAAATGAAAAGAGAGAAAAGAGATGAGATAAAGAGGCCCCACGATCAAATTCATAGCTCCAGTTGGAAGTTACCATGTGCAAATAGAGAAGAAGCAATCAAGACTTAGTTCCAAGAA